TACAGGGTGGTTGGCTTTGAAGACCAAGGATTAGCTCCTGCATGTCAGAGTGAGGCATTTGGGCTACTGATCTTCCAGTCTTATGGTTCCAGAAAGTCCTGTCTTCATTTCTCCTCTCCATTTACTCAGTATATTCTGCCAGACTTTTTTTTTTAAAGGGTTTTGATACAGGGCATGTGCATCCTCCAGAGAGATAGAGAGAGACAGAAAGATAGAAAGTGAGAAATCACCCCTCAGGGGGGATGGCCACACTGCAATCCCTTCTCCATTCTTCTCTTGGGATCTTGATCACTCACGCACATGTGCCCAGTGTGAGTTTTAAACCTCTGGGTCTGAGACTCAAACCACAGTCAACTATGTGAGAGTACAGTGATGTCACCATTACACCATCTGCTGGTCCCCAGATTTTATTTTTAATAATTTCAAAACAGGGGACCGGTGGGTGGCGTGGTGGTGAAGGCACTGGACACTGCCACATGGCCAACCACAGTTTGAGTCTTGGCCCTGGTGGGTTGCTTTCTTGCTTTCCCTCTCTCTCTCTCTCTGTGTGTGTCTCTCTCTGGTCAAATTAAAATAAATGAATGAGTAAATAAAATTAAATAATTGTTTTTACAAATTTTCAAAACAAACTCTGCTTTAGAGAAGCATTGTAAAGATAGAATTCTCATGTGCCCCAGACCCAGTTTCCCCTATTGTGAATACCTTCCATTATTATGGTCCATTTGTCACAGCTAGTGACTATCATTAGTAAATGAAATCCACATTTTAATCAGACCTCCTTAGTTTTTCCCCATTCTGTTCCAGAATCCCACCCAGCATATCACATTACATTTAGTCACAGTTGTTTCCTTAGGCTCATCTGGCCTATGAAAGTTTCTCAGACTTTCCTGGTTTTGGGTGACCTTAGTAGTTTTGAGGAGGACTGACCAGGTATTTTGTAGAACGTTCCACCTGCACCTTGGATGGGTCTAATGTTTTTCTCATGTTTAGATTGGGCTTATGAGTATTTGGGGAAGAAGATAGCAAAGGTAAGTGCCACGTTCACCATTTCGTTTGGAGTGTTCGTACTGTCCACATGAGTAGGGAGAAGGGAGTAAGGAGTCATGCTTCGGAGCTGCCTAAGCTATTGGGGATTTTGATGCATGTGAGATGTCTGGGCGCCCCCACATACTTACAGTCACTCATTTATTTATATCAGTATGGGTGCCTGGATGCCTGTTTTATATTCAAGTTATAACCTGTTACTGCATTATGTGCTTTTTGCTCAGATTGGTCCACATTTGGCCATTGGTAGTTCTGTCGGCTGCCACCTGTGTTTCTGCGAACAAGTGCTGTGATTGTTTTTCTCACTTTCTGACACTTCGAAATGCTCTAGGCTTCTCTGCCCTAGTCCTAGAATCAGCCACTTCTCCAGGGAACCCTGGTTCCTTTTACTGAAATATAGGATTAGAAACCAGTATATGGGCATTCTGTTTTATTTTAGGTTTTATTTTATCCATTAGAAGAAAAACCAAAACAACCAAGTTTTACAAAAAAACCCAGACAACAACAACAACAAAGACAAATACCCTGCCATAGAAGAGCTTGGATAGGTTGGGCTGTCAGGGAGCTCCTTGCTCCACACATAGCGGAGGCTCGTGCTCACGTGACAGGCCCCACATCTCACCAGAGGGGGGTGTTCCTAACCAGTGGGCTCATGTCTGTGCTCCCTTTTTCAGAAGCTCTCTAAAATCTTGGTAACTCCCTAGGTTATTTTTGATTCTTTATATTAGGTAGTGAGCTCAAAATTTCTTTTTGTTTTTCTTTTCTTAAACATGCCAGTTGCCTGTACATGTATGTCCTTAATCCTGAAGAGCTTAATATTAATGTTCTGCACATTTTGTCTATTCATTCATTCATTTATTTATTTAGAATTATTTTATTTATTTATTTTAATTTGACCAGAGAGGGACAGATCGAGAGCGAGAACAAGAGAGAAAGAGAGAGAGAGAAAGTGAGAAAGCAAGCTGCCAGGTCTGAGACTCAAACCATGGTTGGTCACGTGGGAGCCCAGCACCCATAACCACCACTCAAGTGGTGCCAGCCTCAAGTTTAAAATTTCTGAATGCTAAGTCAAAAGGGAATTTGCACTGATTATTCTCTTACAAAAAAGGATATTTTGGTAAAGTAATGTACCACCTGAAGTTATATGAGATTTTTTCCTTTGTTCACAAGTCCCTGCAATTCTTTAATGGATGAATACAGAAAGAGCTCCTGCAACCAGTTTAGCCTAATCCCTGTAATTACTTCACTTGGGCAGAAATGATGGACAAAGTAACAGCCAATGATAACGTTATGACTTCATTTGAGGTGGAGTCAGTGGACAGACCCTCTTTTAGTAAGTACTAAAATAGTGAACAAGCATTCGATGTTAGGGTGGTTAGGAGGTTTACATGAACAATAAACAGTGTCTGAGTATTGAAACCGTCATCATCATCACCTTTCTAGGGAATGATCACAACGATCTGTGTGATTTACTTAAAGATCATGGTGATGAGGGGGCTGGAATGGCATGACAATTTGTTGATTTCATTTTCTTCCACTGAGCATCATTATCTGTATGTTGGACAGGGTAGGGGCGTGGGGGGAGAGGGCTTGAAGCCTATGAAGGGGGTATTACCCGAAGTTCTCCCAGAGCCTGCTAGTCCTCAGGGACTCTGCCACCACTGGCACTCCGTCACAAGCCATGCAAAATGAAATATCACTCCTAGAAAGGCCATCAGGGGACCCTTGATTGCATGACTTCTAAGAACAGGCAGGACGCCGCTGCCATTGTCACGTGGCAGATGAAGAAACCACACCGAAGGCGTGGTGACTGAATCACAGCAGTTTTCTCATCATCCATTTCCACCACTGAGGTTTCTTTTAAATTTGTTTTACAATATTTAGCAGTGTATTGCTACATGATGGGTCCTTTAATTTTTTTAATGCTATGCTCAGAATGAGAGGCAGTCTCTATATCTTAAAGAATTGTTTATTGAATATTTTTATTATTATTTCTAATTTGCTATAGGACACTCATACTCACCCGAGAGACAGAGAGAGAGAGGGAAAATGAGAACACAAGCTGCAGGTCCTGGACTCAAACCACAGATGGCCATTCTGGAGTCCAGCATCTTAACCACCTCACCACCTGCCGGCCCCAGGAAGTCTCTTTGTTTAATTGTAGCTTCTGATTAGTACAGGGGCTCCCTCAGGAGCCCCAGATTCTGGACTCATCCAGTTCCGCGCAGCCAAAGCTTTCATCGGTGACTGGCCTTGTTTTAAATTCACCTCCACACCTCCGGGCTCAATGCTATGCAGCAGCCACGCTCCGTTCCCCCGTCCCCCTGCCCTCCTCACTCATTAACACGCCCACCTCCCCCATCCTCCCACTTGGCTTCCTGTACCAATTAGGAGCTATTAGAAAAGACCTTCTGCCAGCTCCCACCCCACATCCACCCATCCCAGCACCCAGACCTTTATGTTCTGCCTTTCTTCCTGTGGCAATAGATGAAAGGTCTGTGTTTTCTCTAAACCCACTGACTCCTCTTCTGCACTGAATCTCTCCCCCTCACCTACTCACAGCTCTTACGGCAGCAGCTGTATCCTTAGTGTTTCTCTCTCTACTGGATTGTTTCCATGAGTATTAAAATGCTGCTATTTCTCCCAGCTCCAAAACAAACAAAAACATCAATTTTGAAAACTATTAAAAATTGTGATTAAAAAACAAAATGTGCCAGTGTAACCACTTCTGAGTATATCGCTCAGTAGCGTTAGGTATATTCCCATTGCTGGGCAACCAGTCTCTAGGACTGCAACACCTTACAGAACTGAAACTCCTACTCATGAAACAATGACGTCGGTTCCCTTTCCCCAGCCCTGGCATCAGCCCTTCCATGGTCTGTACTCTCTCTATGAATGTGACTTTTGGCTACTGTAAATACCGTTGCTATGAACATGGGTGTATGCATAGCTCTTTGAAACCCTGCTTTCAATCCTTTGGGGTGTATACTCAAAAGTGAGACTTGTTAGATCCTATGGTAATTCTATTTAATTGGGAGGGGGGGCAGTTGCTGTACTGTTTTCCATTGTGGCTGCACCATTTTCCATTTTCTTTCTTTCTTTTTTTTTTGGAGAGGTTTTCGCTATAGGGCGCGTGCGTTCACCAGACAGACAGAGAGAGACATAGAGACAGAAAGTGAGAAATCACCCCCCAGGGGGGATGGTCACGCCACAATCCCTTCTCCTCCATTCTCCTCTAGGGATCTTGGGCACGCACGCACACACGCCCGGTGTGAGTTTTAAGCCACCAGGTCCAGGACGCGAACCGCCGTCAACTACATGGGATTCCAGCGACATAGCCATTACGCTAACTGCTGGTTCCCAACCACCATTTTCCATTTTCACCAACAGCACCCAAAGAGTCTGGTATCTTTACACCCTCACCAATGTTCACTAGGTTCTAAGTTTTTATTCCTTTGTTTTTTTTATAGTAGCTATCATAATGTGTGAGAGATGCTATCTCACTGAGAGACAAAAAATCTTTTTCTCCTATTTTCCCTCTTGCTGTGGCTAGTTCCTGGAAGCTCATGTCCCAGAGCTGTGCATAGAAAAGTGTGGAAACATGACAAGGTAGCAATGGTTAACCAGCATCCAGGACAAATTCCGGTGCTAGGTTAAATCCTGTGAACAGAGCACCAGATCCCACATGGCTGAACCAGGTTCAAATCTCAGCCCTTCTGGCTTGAAAAACAGGCTGGGTGCTTGTGTGTGTGCCCCTCCCCGCCTCCCACCCAAATCCTGAGGGGATACAGAAATGGAGGAACGGGATGGCAGTGTGACCACGCGCCATTGGGTTCTCTCTCCCCTCTCTGATGACGGGTGTTCATGACCTTTGACAATGGAAAAAGAAGAATAATTCTGGGAGAGTGTAGGCTTCATTTCTAGACTTTCATTGACCACTGGGCTCTCTCTTGCAGCTCAAGTCTCGGGTTCTCATGACCCCTTTAGCCCTCTCACCTCCGCGAAGTATCCCGGAGCCCGACCTCAGCTCCATCCCCCAGGACGCAGCCACCGTGCCCAGCTTGGCGGCCCCGCAGGCGCTCACAGGTAAGTCCGCAGGTGAACGGGGCTGCAGTGGCCGCAGGTCCCGAGGCGGCGCCATCTAACGGCTACTTTGTGAACTAAAGAGCAGCTGTGAGAGGGAAACGGAGACAGAACGGCAGCTGGACAGAAGATCGGTTGTCCCGGTTCTCTGAATACAAGCTTGCTCACTTGGAAGAGTCTTTCCCTTCTGTGCTTGCGCTTCTAGATCTCCTAAGGATCCTACTCTCTCAGAGCTCCACCCAGTAGGCTGAAATCCTGCCAGAGCTGTTTGATCCCATTTTCTCCCTTAGGCGGGGCACTTCCCACAATAGTATCGTCCAAAGAGAACAGTGATATGATGGTGTCACACAGATATCCTCCCCTCGTCAAGCCCCAGCCCTACTCCTGTGTCACTTAAATCAGGACAGTGGGAGATGGCAGAGGGTAAGAGATAGGGAATCAAGGGTGAGGAAAAAAAAGCAAAAAAGAAAACAAATGGAAAATTATTTGCTGACAATAACATGTATGCTGATGTGTTTGATTGAGCCAATATGCAGTGTACTCTGGATGGAAAATCTCATTTTGTATGTTGTCATGATGTACAGTGAATGAATGTAAATAAATAAATTTAAATTAAAAAAATCCCTTTAGCCCCTGCCTATTGCTCTTAGGTGTAGACCAAACTTTTAAATATGGCCAACCAGTGGGCAGGCTCCATCCTGTGACCCACTCCTAGTCTCTCAGTCCCTGGATCTGGTCAGAGGGCCTTAGCATACTCTTCCCCTGCTGGAACAGTCTTCCCTTTGAGTCATGCTGTTCCTCCCTTCTAGCTCAGCTCAGACATCTCTGTCTAGAATGCCCTTTCTGGGTTTCTTGCTGGGGTCCCCAGGATGGGCTCTCCTAGTACCTCCTTAGTGCTGCTCACAGCCATGGTCTCACGCGGTCTCATATCGGCTCCTATAGCTGGAAGGATCTGCCTTCCCACTAAGCCCTGTGAAGGCAGCAACCTCATCATTTTGCTCACGATTTTTCTGTAGTGGGGAACATAGCACTTGGCATGAAGGTTCCTTATTCATTAGATTTCCCCCCATCACCTGGGATGAGTGGAAGAGAGCCTGGTAGAGAGCACATGCCTTGTTATCAGAAAGACTTGAGTGTGAATTCACATTACACTACTGACTGCAGACTTTGAGCAGCATCTAGCTACACTAGGCTTCAGGTTCTTCATTACTACAGCAGTAATGGGACCAGCAGTTGGCATAATGGCTATGTTGCTGGACTGCGGTTTGAGTCCGCCACCCGGTGGCTTAAACTCACATCAGGCATGTGTGTGCCTGTGTGCCCAAGATCCCAAGAGGAGAATGGAGGAGAAAGGATTGCAGAGTAGCCATCCCCCTGAGGGGGGGTGATTTCTCACTTTCTGTCTCTCTGTCTCTCTCTGTCTTTCTGGCAAATGCACGCACCCTATAGCAAAAAACCTCTCCAAATAAATAAGTAAATAAAGCAGTAATGAAAATATCCGATTTACAGGCTTGAGAATATAGTAGGTATTCGATAAAGCTAAGTTTCTTCACCTTTGCTATTATTTAATATTTCTGAACTCCCGTTGTTTTTTTCTCTTCAGCACGTCTTTGCACCAGTGGTCTCCAAGGTGAGATGATCATCTCGGGAGGGCAGGGCGGGTACAAGGGAGAGTAGGAGACCAGACCCATAGAAAGGGTGGTCAACGGTGGAAGAGACTAGGACACCTGCTATTAATCATTTTTATCTCCAACTTCTAAATTTCTATTTCTTGGGTATGTTTTGAAATGCACACAATTATTAGATGTAGACAGACAATGCTTTATTATATCATTGAAAAGACAGAAAATGACTTTTCTTTCTCATTTCCAAATTGCAGATAGTTTTTATCAAGGGGTAGACTAGGATGCTATTCACTGGTTAAGGATTCTGGCTGGAGCTCTAGGACAATAAGAAATCGCAAACCAGTCTGGACATAGGCTGACCAGTTAGGCAACTATGTTAAGTTACAAGTGGGATAGATAGTTGTGGATGGGGATTGCTAGAATAAAATTAAGTTGAACTTGTATCAACTAGATCTGAACCCTTCAACTAATTGACCAAGTTATTTACCTTCATGATAATTAATCCACAGGATTGTCTTCTTTGAACAAAGCTCTTTTTTTTATTATTTTTTTATTTTTTGAGAGAGAGATTTTTACTATAGGGCGAGTGTGCTCGCTGGAGAGACAGAGAAATAGAAAGCGAGAAATCACTCCCCAGGGGGATGGCCATGCCACATTTCTTCTCCATTCTTCTCTTAGCATTTTGAGCACACACGCACAAGTGCCTGGCATGGGTTTTAAGCTAACGGGTCCAGGATTCAAACTGCTGTCAACTACGTGGGAGCCAGTGACATAACCATTATACCATCTGCTGATCCCTAAAACTTTTCTTAAAAAGGATCTATGAGATATTCCTTTTTTTTTTTTTTTTTTAAAGTTTCTTGCCATAGGGTGCGTGCACTTGCTGGAGAAAGAGAGACAGTGAGAAGTGAAAAATCACCCTTCCAGGGGGGATGGTCACACTGCAATCCCTTCTCCTCCATTGTCCTCCCCAGATCTTAGGCATGCATACACACATGCCCAGTGTGATTTTGAAGCCTTCAGGTCCGGGACTTGAACCATGGTGGGGCCATGTGGGAGTTTAGCAATATAACCACTACACCATCTGTTGCCTCTCCTTTTTTTTAACTGCAAAATTCATAAATATTCCACTGTGATGTACCATTGCTAAAATCTAGTATATATGGAAATCAGTTTGTAGACATTCTAGCATTTTTCTGAAGATTTATATTATATAAATTTGACACTTTCCTGTAAAAAAAAACATACACAGTATGTTTAATACAGTTGGGAATATGTATTACCCACTAATAAATAAACATACCGTGGGACACGTGCTCAGAAATTTCTTATCTACAGAGTGTATTTCTTTACAAGTGTGGGAACCACTGATCGGGCTCACATAAGTGGTTTGTTGAGCAGTTATTTTCTCTGAGACTATAAATAGCACTCTCTTTAGACCTTCGAAGGATATATAGTCTCTGAAGTGATTGAAAGCATCTGGGTTTCTTTTACTTAAGTAAGACTAATGAAATGTAGCTTGACAGTACCATTGTATGTGTACCTGCTCAGGATGGAAATATGTTAATATACATGGTCCTTGTGGGCCACTGTAACTGTCCATCTGTTCCCTACCTGGAGATCTTCTTGAGAACAAGTACCGACAGTTAGGGTGCTTGGCTCTTTTGCCTTTTTCGCTTCATAAGGTGGGAAGAATCAATTCGCTTTTCCATTTTAGCTTCCCAAGGTCAAGAGGGCATGACTGAGGCATGCGTGAGCACACAGAACAGCCAACGGGAACATGTGTGTCAGTACTGAAGGCCTTGTGGTCTCTGTCCTCACAGTCTGCCTCTACATCAACAAGCAAGCTAATGCAGGGCCCTACCTGGAGAGGAGGAAGGTGCAGCAGCTGCCCGAGCACTTTGGCCCTGAGAGGCCGTCAGCGGTCCTGCAGCAGGCTGTCCAAGCCTGCATCGACTGTGCCCACCAGCAGAAGCTGGTCTTCTCCTTGGTCAAGCAGGGCTATGGTGGCGAGATGGTGTCAGGTAAGGCCCTGGGCTGGGTTGTCCGAAGAGCGCATGGGTAGCTCTCTGTAGAGGTAGGCAGCCACATTTAGGCTTAAAGGACGGTGGGTGCAACCAGGGTCTGTCCTCTGTCTTCTGCCCCGAGGGCTCCCTGTGAGCTAAAGGCCTCTCAGAGAAGATGCTTCTAAACTTGGACCAGAAGATGAGACATCTAAATTCTCCTCCTCCTACATCCTCATCGTCTTTCCCTCTACTCTTTCTCCACCTCCCACTTCCAACCCATCAGGAAATCTTACTGCCCCACCTTCAACTTAGATCCAGAACCCAGCCTCCTCTCTCTGCCAACAGCAACCACACCAGTTCTTTAAGTACCTAAGTCAGATCAGACCCCTCCTCTGCTCTAGAACCCCCAATGGCTCCCATGTCACTGAGTAGCCCACATTCTGACAAGGGGCACAGGCCCTATGTGACCTGGCCCTGGCTGCTTCTTCCCTCTCCTGGTCACTCTCTCTCGCCCCTGACTGCTCTGGCCATGGCAGCTGCCATACTATTCTCCCTGTATAGCCCAGCCGTGCCCTTGCTTCAGCTTCTTTCCACCTGCTGCTCTCTCTTCCTGGACTGTTCTCCCAGCTCTCCACGTGACTTGCTTCTGGATGTCCATTAGGCGTCTCCGCCAACACTGCCTTATCAAAGCCCTTTCCTAACCACCTGTCTGAAATAGCAGCACTTGTCACTCTTCATTCTTTGTCACTCTACTCCGTTTCTTTGTCATAGCACTCACTGCCACCAAGGGCAGTGGGGAAGGCTCATGGCTTCAGCAGCATCTCAAGGGGAAATGTTATTTAAAACCAGATCCTTTAGGGTCGCAGAAATCCCTTCTTCCAACCCATAGCCTTCCTCCAGTTTCAGCCCCAACCCAAGCATCCGGAGGGAGCCAGGTTGCCACCACCATGTGGGCGTGGCAGATCGGGGAGCTCCGTCCCCTCCTATGTTTGTCTTCTCTCTTATCCCAGGCTCTTTGCATAGTGGTTGTCATGGCCTGGTCTTAATCTCTGGAGCACCAGACCCTTGCAAGATGTCTCAACTCCATGGGGACAACTTGGTGTCTTCTCTAGCCCAGCCTCATAAACGTGGCTTCTGTATCACTGAGAAAATGAGAGAAGAAACCCCCATTGTGCAGAGGACCCAGATGTCTAGCCAAGAAAAGACCAGAGAGAGAGGCGCCTCTCACATGACTGCGTCCTGGATAACCAAAGCAGGGGCTTTTAGCATAATCCCAGACCCCAAGCCTGGGCACGGGGAAGCTGTCCAATGCCGCTTCCCCACTCTGATCATGTAATTTCCTCTGAGCAGGACGCTGGCTGACTTGTGGTGATTGGTTCAACTAGAAGTTGGTAAGGTCTAGGCACACACACCTGGCTCGGCGATTTTTAAGGGATGTTATCAGATGTGAGCAGAGACAGAAAGAAGAAGCGCGCCTAGAGAACAGGGTCTTCTGAGAGGCCCTTGCTGTTCCTCTCCTGGTTCCTGTCTGGGAGTCAGGTCCTTGATCCTGGCTACCCTCTGAGGTCGAAGGCCTTGTTCTTTTCCTTGGTAACTAGCAGGGTTCAAGACACAGAAGGTGCTAAGAGAAAGCTCCTCCTGTACTCTGTGCTCATCCGGTGGCCCAGGTTCTCTACGGCCCTACCCCTGAGGCTAGGAGAGCTGCCCTCGTCTTCCCTGCTCTCCTGCTCAGCTCCTTCCGTGGCCTCAGGGGCCTTGGCACTGGAAGTCCTGCGGTGCCTGGCAGCCATGCAAGCATGGGCTGAGCCTCGCCAAGTTTCCCTTGGCTGGGGGAATTCCCAGGAAGGCCAGGGCCCAGCACTCTGTTTTAGCAGCTTGGAGGATGCCACAGTGCTGAGCTGACTCCTCGGGTTGCCACCTTGAGGCCACGAAGGGGTGGGGTGGTTTTTCACGGTACAGGTCATGGTGAGCAGACTCAGCAAGGCCGGGACAGCACCTCGGTTCATGGGGGAGGGTCTCAGGAACAATAGTCAGGCTGCCTGTCTTCACTTAGGTCCCGACCCTTAGGGTTCTGCTTTCCAAACATCCCCACATCACAACATACAGAAGATGGTAACAGGGTGCTGGCATGATAGGATACAGGAATAAGACTGCCCAGGGCTGGGGGAGGCTGCCCAGGCCTTGGGCCACCCAAGAGTGAGGGAGAGCAGTGTCACAGAACCCCATAACCCACTCCCGGTGCCCCCCTTGGGATGCTCTGCCTTAGGCACCCTTTTACAGAAGAATAGACCTTTGGTTCTCCTGCATCCCATGTTCTTTCTTCACTTACATGATCTCCCAGGCACTTCTGGAAATGTACACACATTGATTTATAGGGCAGGCCTAAGCCCTGAGGCCCTCCTGCCGTGGGTTCAGTTTTTTGTTTTTTGGTTTTTTTTTTGGGAGAGATTTTCACTGTAGGGCGCGTGTGCTCGCCAGACAGACAGAGAGAGACATAGAGACAGAAAGCGAGAAATCACCCCCCAGGGGGGATGGTCACGCCGCAATCCCTTCTCCTCCATTCTCCTCTCGGGATCTTGGGCACAGACGCACGTGTGCCCGGCGTGAGTTCCAAGCCACCGGGTCCGGGACACGAACCGAGGTCGACTACGTGGGATTCCAGCGACATAGCCATTACGCTAACTGCTGGTTCCCACCGTGGGTTCAGTTTTCATATCACCTGGTTTCTTATATTGAAGGCGAGCAGTGGTGCCCCTGCCTAAGAGGAGTTTCCGGAGTGGTCGGGATGATCACCTTCGTGAACATCGCAGTAGTTCTTTGGCAGGTTTCCCAGTCAGAGCGACTGGGTGTGTTCAAATGACAAAGTGCCACTCAGCAGGCACGTGAGCCAGCAAAGCCCCCCAGCCCCCCCAGACCCTCTCCTTAGTTTCTGTATCATTAACATGGAGTAATAACCCTTGGCCCACTGTCCTCCCAGGCTGTCAGGAGGCTAAGATGAAGTGATGTATGGGAAAGCTCTTGTCAAACTAGAACGAGCTACACGAAAGAAATGGACTCTTTTGATTTCTAATGAAAATAGACGTTTTCTTTTGAGCTCTAAAATCAAAGCTAGTTATGGTAGCCCCTGCCATCTGCCAACCATTGGGAGAGGAAATGGCAAAAAGCAAGTGGCATTTTAAGTGTGCTACTGTGTAGCAGAGGCCCAGGAGACAGCAGAATGTCCTGTCTGGGGTCTCCAGGTGAGTCCCTCAGCCGATGTGAAAGTCCTGGGGAAAAGACAGCTGCGCGGAGAGATACAGAAAGGACTGGGACCAGCAGTTGACATAATGGCTATGTCGCTGAACTCCCATGTAGTCGACCGTGGTTCAAGTCCCAGGCCCGGGGGCTTAAACTCATGCTGGGTGCATGTACGTGTGTGCCCAAGATCCCGAGAGGAGAATGAAGGAGAAGGGACTGTGGCGTGGCCATCTGCCCGGGGGGGGGGGGGGGGGCGGTGATTTCTTGCTTTCTGTCTCTCTTTCTTTCTGGCGAGTGCACATGCCCTATAGCTAAAACCTCTCCAAAAAACAAAAACAAAAAACAAAGACAAAAACAAGAAAACAGAAAGGATCATGTTCTGGGCTGGAAGAAACCGGTATTGCTTCTAAATTCTAGTAGCCCTCTAGAATGGACTTTAATCTAGCATCACTATGGATTTGTTATTTTCCTTTTATAAAGACTCTCCCCAAAGGCTCCCCCAGAGGCACCTGTAACCATCTGTGGTGCTTGATTAGAGTTAGCTCAGTGTGACTAGGGTTATCTGAATACAGCTACGCATCCGCATCTCTCCCCAGAGTCACAGCTATAGACATAGGCAAGTCCATTTGCTGAGAGGGTCCAGAACCACGGACGCGCCAGCAGCCATGAGCACACCTGTGCCCTCATCTTGGCTCCCAAGTATCACTCTTTAACAAAGGAAGCAAGGGAGTTAGAGAAATGCTTCTAGGGCTGGAGCAGGAAAAAGAATATGAGATGGGCCTGAAGCACACTGAAGTGCCCCAAACCAAAGAGGTGCTAAAGAAAAACCATGGAGGCATGCTTTAGGGACACAGGAGCCAAACTGAGAAAGCGCCAAAGATGAAAGCTGAGGCAATTTGAGCAACAACATAAATAAAGCAGTGCTGGATGACCACAGCACAAACTAAGAACCCCAAGACTGTCCCAAGTTCAATACATGACTAGATAAATAAATGAGTGGGGAGAAGGGACAGCTCTTGCTTACAAAATAAAGCCAAACGATTCGTAGACTCTCCCCTCTCTAAGGGCTGGAGCTTAGTCCCGTCGCTGCCCTGGAGCACCCAAGAAATGGAATGTGGTGGATACAGTGGAGGATGGGGCACACGCTGCCTTGGCGTGGTGATGAGGGTTAACATCCCAGCAGTGCCATGTGGCTGTCGTATGCCCCTAATCTGCTGCGATGACAAGGGCACTTCACCTCCACAGTCTTCCTCCCAACACCATCCCTATGCCCAGACTAATCTCGAGAAACACATCAGATGAACCCAAACTGAGAGACCTACCCAGTCCCTGACCAGCACTCCTCCACACTGACAAGGTTATACAAAACAAGGCAAGTCTGAGAAACCATCCGAGACTGAGGAGACACAGGAGACTTGACAGCTAATCACAGGGTGATGTCCGGGATGATGGGACCCTGGAACAGCAGCAGGACAGTATTGAAAAAGCAGGTGCAACTGAAATATAGCCTTCTTGGAAACAGAATGAAAATGGCAAACAAAAACCTCCCCGGGCTGACTGACCTGCGGCTCACTCCAGGGCCCTGCTCTGAGCTGCTCTCTGTGGTTTTTCAGTCTCTGCTTCCTTCGATGGAAAACAGCACCTGCGGAGTCTGCCTGCGGTGAACAGCATCGGGTATGTCCTCCGCTTCCTGGCCAAGCTGTGCCGAAGCCTCCTCTGTGACAACCTCTTCAGCCACCAGCCCTTCCCCAGGTGTTCCAGTGTCTCTGAGAAAGCCCTGGAGAAAAAGGAAGAGAGGATGGAGTCAGGTAGGCCTCGTCCTGCTTCCCCCATCACATGCACTGAGTGATTTCCTTTGTTCTCATTTAACGGAAACTCTGGGCATTTATTTGTCATTGCTGAATAGCTGAAGGACTACAAAACTAAGGAACTAAGATATCCCAAAGAAACTAGGGCTAAAGAAAGGGTGATGTTGGGACCAGCAGTTGGAGTAATGGCTGTCACTGGACTCCCATGTAGCTGACCATGGTTCGAGTCCCAGACCCGGTGGCTTAAACTCAGGCTGGGCATGTGTGTGTATGTGACCAAGATCCGGAGAGGAGAATGGAGGAGAAGGGTTTGCAGTGTGATCTCCTCGCTGGGGAGTGATTTCTTGCTTTCTGTCTCTCTCGAGTGCTTATCTATGTGAATAGAAGGTGTAACAAAGTGTCCCCGTTAGTGCAGAATTGTGGCCATTTGCCACATGTGTCTTCCAGTGAGGAGTAGTGTTTCTCTTTCATCAGAGGTCAAGTTCCTTTTGCACCACCAGCTCCAGAATTCAGCGAGGAAGGAAAAATGGCCAGTAGGCAGAGCTGCAAGGCCACATGGGCCGACTTGCCACGGTGCTGTATGCCAGTGCACCGAAGCCACTGGGAGGTGCTCCTTCCCTTGGCAGCCCGAGGTAGGGGTTTGCAGAGAGCTGAACGTGAATCCCGAGCATGAGCAGGAATTTGCCCTTTCTCTTTCTGTAAAGGCAGTATTGTGGATACATGAAGCATGGCGGCAGCAAAGCGTGGTCCAATCATTACGTGATTCTGCAGACATTTCTTGAACTCTTCTGTTCCAAGTGTGGTGTGAGACCCTGTCTTGGATAAGACAAAAGCAAAATCTTGGCAAGGTTTGGAGGGGATAGAGTGACGGGACTATTACAGACAATGAAAGATGCACCTCTGCAGGTATATGCTCACAGACAGGTTTCGAGCATTCAACAAAATGATACGTAGAATAAGAGTGGCTGCAGTTAAAGCCCAGGAGGACAGCAGGGAAGGACAAATTTAGGTTCTTAGCAGAGTTTTTCTTGTAAGCTATCAAGAATATTGCCTACTGTTTTGCTTTAATCTCAGACCTGGAAAACAGGAAGAAATTTGGCCTTTTTGTAAAGATACCTAATTAAAGAGGTTCTTGTGAGCATATGCTATATATTTCTATATTTTCTTGATGCCTTTATATATGTTAGTTTAGAAAATTCCTCTATCTCTCTGGGCCTAAGTTTCCCATGTTATTTTTTTTAAAGAATTTTTTGCCTTAGAGCACAGGAGCTTGCCAGAAAGAGAGAGAGAGAGAGAGAGAGAGAGAGAGAGAGAGAGAGAGAGAGAGAAAGAGAAAATCAGCCCCCCCCCCCCAAGGGAGATGGCCATGCCACAATCCCTTTTCCTCCATTCTCTTCTTGGGATCTTGGGGATCTTGGGCATGCACGCACACATGTCCAGTGTGAGTTTAAGCCACTGGGTCCAGGACTTGAACCGTTGTTGGCCATGTGGGAGTCCAGTGACATAACCACTATGCCATCTGCTGGCCCTAGTTTCTCATGTTAAATGAGAGGCTTGGAGTCAGTGATGTAGAATGTCCCTTTGGTTCTGGCAGTCTAAAAATATGGCCTCTCCTATAAACCTTAGTTGACTCAGACACTTTTTTTTTGTTATATGGCATGTGTGCTTGTTGGAAAGAGACAGAGAGAGAAGAGACAATGGGAAAGTGAGAAATCACCTCGCGGGGGATCGCCATGCCACAATCCCTTCTCTTTCATTCTCCTCTCAGGATTTTGGACATGCGTGCGCATATGCCCAGTGTGATTTTCAAACCACCAGATCTGGGCCTTGAACTGCAGAGTCATCCATGTGGGATCTAGCTGCCTTAACCTCCACACCACCTGCAAGCTCTGACACATTATTTTTTTTTAACTTATGTATTTATTTCTTCAAAGAGAGAGAGAGAGAGAAGCACTCTCAACAGGGTTTACACTCATGATCCCACTCTCAGTGCCAGCCAGCCAGAGTCATGGGCACATACAGGCTTGGCATGTGAGGGAGGGCTCAGGATGCAAACCCAGGACCCTCCTCTAGCACTTCATCAGCATGGGCCTTGTGTCACCACTGCACCACCGTCGCTGGCTGGGAACACATTACTAATTTACCGCCTAATGAATCTTGCAACAAGCGTAGCAGAATGATGTGGCTTTACTTCTCAAGCCCTTGCATCACTGTTACAGTGAACAATGACCCATGGGACATAATTCCAAAGTCACCTGATTAATGTCTCCCATTGTGCTTCCAATTTATCCTATAGGACTGCTTCTTCCCTGTCTATGGATAAAATCGAGGACAAATCTTGTGACTATCCTGGTTCCTTTCAGTTTACCAAATTTTCTTTAGTTCGTAATGAATATGCCCAGGTCAGTGTGATCATTGAACTTCAATTTTCACTTGGAGATATAACTACTGTCCTTGCCAGCTCAGGTTTGCTTCAGGCCAGTTGTCTGCAGCAGTCAAGAAGGACATGGTAGATCTCTCCCGTCATCACTCACAAAATGCTTCTGCCCCTCCCATATCTAGTTAATTTTGCTTCTAGAATTCCTCATAGCATGGTGGGGGAAAGAGGAGAGACAAGAAGCAGGGGAATTTGTACTTAGTGAATCCTGCGTGAGTTGGCATCATGCTCCTTGGCTTTGGCAGGTTTTTAAAACCTATTCTTTTTTTCCCGTGGGCTCTTTTTTTTTTTTTAAGAGGTTTTTGCACTAGCCAGAAAGACAGAAAGAGACAGAGAGATAGAAAGCGAGAAATCACCTCCCAGGGGGGATGATCACGCCGCAATCCCTTCTCTTCCATTCTCCTCTTGGGATCTTGGGCACACATGCATACGCGCCCGGCGTGAGTTTAATCTACCGGGTCTGGGACTCAAACCACGGTCGACTACATGGGAGTTCAGCAACATAGCCATTGTGCTAACTGCTGGTCTCTTCCTGTGGGCTCTTATGTGGGTTCTTTGGTGACACTGTCATCTCTTACCTGCACCTTCCCTGACATGGACAAATGCAACTCTTCTCTAGCTGGTCACTTATCATTCCTTCCATAGTTCAAGTCCTCTGGAAGTAAATACCTTGCTTCTTTCTGCTGAAGCCCCTTGCACCTCAGACCTGTCCTGTGGAAAGTCTTTAAGATGCGTCCCCACAGATCACTCTCTGATGGCCCACACCTGGGCCTTGAGAAACACATTTCCTCTGCCCAGATAAGTTCCGGGTGTGCAGGCTGATCTCTGCGGCACCTCTCCTTTGTTCTGCCACCAATTGCAATCATTTACGTTTCCCATGGGACCCAAATAATGATCTAGACCTTGTCTTCTGAACTCTAGAGGATGAATACCAAGTTCTTCACAAGGTCACATGGAAGCCATGGGGATTATGCTGGATCGTTCTTTCTGTAACGTGTCTTCTAGTCTATTTGTTTCTCAGCCTTTACGACCTCACTTCACGGTCTGTGTAGGCAGTTATCTTGGTGTAAAACTGGATTTCCAGTTTTTGGGCCAAGACTTGCATGGTGACTTCACACTTGGAATGTGGTATCTCTTGTCCTGTGGCCTCAGCCAAAATGGTAACCAACATAGTTTCACTCTAACATTTTATCCTATGAATCCTTCCCCCATTTTCTTTAAATAGTCACTGAGGAAGCTCTTGCTTTGTTTGCTCGCCTTATTCTCTCCTTTCCAGGTGCCTCACGATGGATGACATTCCACTCTTTCCCCGAGGTGGTCCGTGAGTGGCGTAGTTGCCTCGCTTCTTCCCTTGACTGAGCTAACAGCCTTTCTTGAAGCAGCAGCTGGTTTCCTTCCTAGTAGGTCAGGAGGCTGGGAAGAAATGACCCCAGCTGTCCTTGTGAACCCTTCCCTTGCCCATGACTACTTTGAAAAAATGCATTTCTCCAAACAAACCAGCCTTGTGGCAACGGTTCCTTGTGCCCTGAATGTTTCAAAACTCAGTGCTCTGTGACACTTGTCAGGGAGGAAGGGGGAAGTGGAGGAAGCAGCAATAGCACAGTATGTTCTGAATGGTCCCTTGGCCCACAAAACTTCCCCAGCCCTGCAATAACACCATTAGAGAGTCTACCTTTGGAATAAGACATGCTTCTCTAGGACTGACTTGTCAAAGTTCCTTTAAAGAGTAACACATCAAGTTATTATTATGTTTGATAATGAATAAATTTATCATCTGCTTCCTCACCACTGTGACAAGGCCCAGACATCTATACAGGGAAAGGGTGAAAGTCTTTTAATATTAGGCTCCATCCATAGAAGCACATCTTTCCTACACAAGATCTCAAGTTCTTGAGCTCATTTGAACCAGGTCAATGCCCAGACCTACTCTCCCCAAGGTTGTTCAGTCCAAGCTGGAGTGTTTTAGGCATGGTGCCAAACATTTAGGTGGTTTGTCAACACTCACCAGGACATTTTCAGAAGACAGGGAGATGATTAGAAAATGCAAAACCATGACGACTAAAGAACTAATAAGGGAACTGGGATGTTTGTGGAAGAACAAAGGAAAGATCTGGGGAATACGTGATTTTCAGTTTCAGTATAGGATTGTTTTCTGTAGTCCTAAAGAGCAGAACTAAGACTAAGTAACTAGATGTTAGATTTAATTAAATCTAAGGTCTTGGCATACTAACCCTGGTTAGAGGTATTGTTCACCTGAGAAAGGCAAAAACTCAGTGGCCCTTTCAGGCCTTTTAACAACAGATCTGCAGGTGTTTTGGAGACACCTTAGTTTGAGAAGTGTGGATTTAAGGAACACTTTTCCAGGTAGACAACTTGGCAGTTAAATAACCATATGGCACTCTCAGAAGGTAATTCCTTTAGGAATGAGGTAAAATTGACATTGCAAAGAGCTTTGAAAAGGCAAAGCCATTCAGAAGCAGAAGGGGCTGATTGAGTGATAGGTGATAGTGATCACCCCATTATTGGTGAAAAATATGTGCATGTGTCTATTTGTTAGGGCTAT